TTTCAGAACCAGGGGTTGAACTCAGACCCTTGCGCTTGCCAGGGAAGCACTTATTCTACTGAGCCATCTCCCCGGCTTAAAAGTAATTGTGTCAGAAGGGGTTACCACATATCAAAAGACTCCTCAGTAACACTGGAAACTACAGTTTTCATCTGATCAGCACAATTTACTTTCTACTATGAAACTGGTTGTTACTTTAATAATCAAATTTGCAAATATAATTAGAAGTTTTACAAAGCAGAGGTAACCTCTTGGGCATCATTACCTAGATGAAAGAACTACCACGATTTTTGAGGTGGTTAAAGTAACTGTAGGCCATCTACTATTGAGTAATTTACTTGAGTGTGTCTGCTCATTACCATGCTTTGAAATGTCAAGAAAATCTGTAATAAAGAATGGCTTATACAAGAATGTTTCAATGGATTTATGAACTCAGAATGATCATGAGAACTAAATAGCTGCTTAAAAAACAACATTCAATTCAGATACATTTATAATTATAGAAGAAGTGTATTAAAATGAGTAAGAACTAGAAAAGAATTAAGAAAAAGTGACTTTTGCTTGCTTTTTTTTGAGACAGGGTTTTGCTCTGTGGTCCAGACTGGCTAAGAACTTACTATGTAGCCCAGACTGGCCTTGAACTCCTGATCCTTCTGTTTTAGCCTAGTAAGTGCTGGGATTACAGGCATGTACAATATTATATTACCATGCCTACCAAATAAACTATTATCCAATAAGATTACACAAAATAAGGTTACATGATTATAACGGTGTGTATAACCAAGAATCAAACAGAATTTACACTTACTTTAAAAAGAGAAGAAAAAACTGAATATATAAAGATGAAGGAGCATCAAGAGAGACTTTGGGCTACAATGCATGGATCGGGATTGGATAAAGCACAAGCCATACAGAACTTTGAAAATCTACAAAGCAAGATTAATATGGGTTATCCATGGAGTTGGAGACAACATTATTGTACTTATTCTTCATTGCAACATTACTATTACAGATTTCTTTTAAAAGAACTTTAATGTTTTTTCTTTCAGAAACTTTATCCATTAAAATAATGGAGATGAACAAAATATTCTGAAGACACAGACACTATAGCATCCTTTGAAGTACAGGGATATTTTTGAAATTTATAAAATACATTATGTTGCAGTTACTTGTCTACACACCTGCTCTTTAGATTGCATTATTATATCATTCAGGGTATTGTGACTGTAAGTATACCACTAGACAAGTCAGTTTAGTCTTTAAACAAATGTTTAAGTGAGGTGTGGTGTTCTCCTTTAATCCCAGCACTCTGGAAGGTTGAGGGAGGATTTCAAGTTCAAGCACAGACTGGGCAACTTTGTGATTTCCTCTCAAAATAAGTTAGATAGGTGGGTGGGTGGCTGGATGGATGGAAGGATGGACCGAGAGACAGATGGACAGACAGGATAAATAGGATAGGTAATTATTTTTAGAAATATCCACAGTGGTTCAAATTAACAAAGATACCTACTTTATAAGCTAAGTATGAGAAGAAGCAAAGAGCTTAAAACTTCAAGATATCCACTTACTACCTAGGATATATCAGAAGGACAATATGTTCAGTTTATGAATGCACACTCTTATAAAGCATTTATAATTTATTTAAAACCTTATTAAAGAATCAAAAGTGTACTGAGGTCTTAACTATGCCATTACTTCTACAAATATTCTATACAGTATTTAAGAATTCTACAGCACTATTAAATGGATGTTTTTATAGAAGTAAAAATTGAGTTTCTTTCTTAGGCTATTTCTTATTTTGTGTTAATATTGTTGCACACCTAGTTATCTCTCTACATAGATAAAACTGAATCTACCTGATTAAACTATTTCATTATTCACTTTTTCTAGCCATACAGAAAGCTGTAGCTAAGGGATAGGTCAACTCCTACTTTTTTCTGGAAAAGGATATACAGCAAATACTTTACGCTTTGGAGTCATACATATTTTGGTTTGTCTGTAAACCAACATTTAAAATGTTGTAAAGCCACAGTTTACATGACATACAAAACCAAGATGGATTTAATCAATGGACCACAGTATGAAGCCTCTAATATAAAGCATTTCACTATCATAAAATATTTTACAAATAACTGATAACAAAAAGTTAGGAAGGAACAAGTTTATTACTATTATTTATTACTGGTTTCCTATACAAAGTTGCTCAGTCAACATATTGTTCACTGCTTCATATAAATCTTTCTAGATTTAGAGCATGTTTTCCAAAATCTTAAATCTACTAATACAATGTGTGCACACACAACATACCAAGGATGCTCCCTCCAAATATAGTCAACAGATTAAAAAATGTGTATTTTAAAACCCTTGTCAAATGTTTCAAACTAAGATTATAATTTCATAAAAGTAATACTGTTCCAGGGCTGGTGCGATAGTTCAGTGGTCTAAGTACCTGCCTGGCAAGCATAAGGATTCAGGTTCTATTCCTAGTACTATATATGCCATGCCTTCCCTGGAACCTCGGGCCTGCAATGCTGGGTATCAATCAAAACCAGGCGTTGTGGTGCCCGCCTATAATTCCAGTGCTAGGGAGGCTGAAAACAGGAGGATCACTATGAATCTGAGCTGCATAGCGAAACCCTGTGCCAAATAAACAAATAAAAAAAGGTAATACTATACTGGAGCTAATAGTTATGGACCCAGTCTGGACATGTAACAGGCAAAATAGTGTACCTGCTGCACATACAATCAATCACACATTAGCTGAATGATCCAGTAATGGAACCCTGCAAGCTTTCATTTCTTTATAATGTGGGTCTGATATCATCTACCTTGCTGGATAATTGTGAAATTAAAGACAATACACAGGAAATAACAAAGTAAGTTATACTTGATAAATCATGATTATTATGAAATTTTCCACTCATCTCAATTCCCAGAAGTCTTATCTGACACAAAAATAAATTTTATTAACAATGATTGGTCTTCTAAACTCAGCCATAAAAATCTGTCTAACCTTTTATAAGTTGGCACTTTTGTAGCTATCTCCTTTCCTATTATTATCTTCACAAATCTTAAGATGTAGGGGCCAGGGAGATGGCTCAGTAGAATAAGCACT